TAAGTACAATACTGAAATAAGAAAAGTAAAAGTCGATCCAGCTGGGCACTGCTCCCAGGCCCCCAGCTGAGCAGAAAACAAGAGGAGGAGTGCAAATGGTGGCGGGCTTGCCTTCTGCCCTCCCAGATCACAAGTAGATCATATTGAAGTCACATTAGGGACAAATGAGTTTCACGGGCTAACCTGGAAACATAATTACTGTTGGGAACATTATTTCTATGGGGAAAATGTATTTTATATTAGAAACAAATGGTTTGCAAGTAAATATTTTTGGAGCACAATTTATAAGTCTAGGGCTGCCTGGAATGCTAACCTTAGCTGGATGTTTTGCATTCAGGGCTAATGACAGGGGACACTTAGAGCCCTTCAGCATCCCTGTCTCTGTTTCCCTCCCAAATCTTTGTTATCCTCTCTGTCCTAGAGACTCTGCCTTACCTTCTTTTTTTTCTGTTCCTGGGTCCCCAGCCCTGTTCCCTCATCCTGGCCCAGCCTCATCCTCCAACAACTACTGAGGCCCCAGGGAGCCAGCAGGAGCTCTGAATGTCCTTATCTTGGTGCCCTCTATTAAACCGTGGTCAGGATCTAAGGGAAGCCAAGATCTAAGGGAAGCTGAGTGGACAGGTTCGTGGCTCTGAAGTGAGACTTCGGCCACCTCGTGGCTGTGTGACCTTGGCATATTACTGTACTTCTCTGATCCTCTGTTTCCTCCCTCACGCTACATGAGGTTGTTGTGAGAATTAACCAGAACCCTGCCTGGCACAGAGTGATGTTCCCTCTGTCTGGTGTGTGGTGGGGGCGTTATTTGGGGATGTTATGGGCTACATGGATTTCTAAGAACTTAGGAAGCAAACCCACTGGAGGGAAATACTTTCTGAACTTCCAACAGCAAACTTGGAAGCAAGTGTCTGGAACTTCCTGATCGTGGTGTAGCCAGGTAGGTTTGTAACACATCTTTTTATCAGTTGGGGGTGAGGAGGGTGTGACTGTGCCCAGGCAAGTTCTCTTTTATAATTTGCAAATGGGTTTGTGTCTGCTTCTTGACTTTATGTTGTAAGCTTGCACTCCAACTGGAAATAAGGACTAGAAAAATAAAATACTGCCAGGCACGGTGGCTCACGCCTATAATCAGAGCACTTTTGTAGGCCAAGATGGGAGGATCTCTTGAGCCCAGGGGTTTGAGACCAGCCTGGGCTACATAGTGAGATCTCATCTCTACCAAAAATAAATTTTGAAAAAATGATAAAAAAAAAAAAATCTGGGTGTGGTGGTGCACACCTGTAGTCCCAGCAACTAGAGCCTAAGGTGGGAGAATCGCTTAAGCCTAGGAGTTTGAGGCTGTAATGAGCTGACTGTGCCCCTGCACTCCAGCCTGGGCAACACAGCAAGACTCTGTCCCAGCTACTCAGGAGGCAAAGGCAGAAGGATCACCTGAACCCAGGAGGTCAAGACTATGGTGAGCTGTGATCATGCCACTACACTCCAGCCTGGATAACAAAGTGAGACCCCGACTGAATAAGAAAAAAGAAAGAAAAAAGAAAATACTGCTTGGGAATCTTGGACTTTGGTGTGAATCCCCAGTAGTAGAGGGGGCAAAGGCAGTAGTCCAGGCAGAGAAAGCAAGCCCACTTCCCTCATGTTCTCCAGAGTGCTTGTTCCTGTCCAGATTGAGTCTCCTCCTGCGTGCGGCCTGCAGACTTGTGGTGCAGCCTCTGAGGACCAGCCTGTCTTGGAGAGCATCAGGAGGGTCACCCTCTCAAAGGCGTGGCTGGCAGGGGGATTTTAATTTGATTAGGGCAGCAGCTGAATGTTTACGCACTTGACCAGGTCTCCTGCTGGCACACAGGAGTCAGGGTGATAGCTTTCAGGAGGGAGGATTTCAAAGTAGTTGCTTGTGTTTACTAAAATACAGGAGCTGCAAGATCCACCCCCCTCCCTAGGAAACATGCGTGTGTGGGGCATGTGCTGTGTTGAAGTTCTCATCATCTGCAGTATTTGAGAAGTCATAGGATGCGGTTGCTGGGTGGCCATCTGGTTATTCATTCTTGGTGGCACAGCTTGCGTTTTCTTTATTTTTTTTTAATTACTGGTGAGAGGCAAGGAATAGGAGTTCAGAGGCTTTTGGTTTTTTTCTTTTCTTTCTTCTTCTTCTTCTTCTTTTTTTAATTAGAGACAAGGTCTCACTATGTTGCCTAGCCTGGTCTCAAGCAGTCTTCCTGCCTCAGTCTCCCAAAGTGCTGGGATTACAGGTGTGCAACCACCATGCCCAGTCAGAGGTGTTTTTTTTTTTTTTTCTTTTTTTAAAATAAACAAGGAATTTCTGTTTATTTGCTTAACATGGTTAGATTTTGTTTTTACCTTATGCAGAATAGGAAGTTAAAGTTTAATTACATGTTTTCAGAAAATAACCTGAAAAACCTTGACCCCTAATTTGCTCCCCAGATTTGAACTTTGAGCTTATGTTAAAAATAGTTAGCCGGGCTCGGTGGCTCAGCCTGTAATCCCGCACCTTTGGGAGGCTGAGGTGAGTGGATGCTGAGCCCGCGGGTTCGAGACCCGCTGGGCAGCGAGACATCATCTCTACAATAAATCAAAAATTAGCCGGGCGTGGTAGCGAGCGCCTGTAATTCCGGCTACTCGGAAGGCTGAGGCAGAAGGATCGCCGGAGCCCAGCAGGTCAAGGCTGCGGTGGCCGGGAGCGGCCACTGCACTCCAGTCTGGGCGACCAAGGGAGACTCCAACTCAAAAAAAAAATAGTTACTTATTGTTTTATAAACAAGGAATTTATGTTTAGTTGCTTAATGTGGTTAGATTTTGGTTTTAACCTTATTCAGAACAGGAAATGAGAGAGGTTCATTTTATATATTTTTTTCAAAATAACCTGAAAACCTCAACTCCTAATTTGATCCCCAGATTTAGACTTTTAGCTTATGTTAAAAATAGTCTCTTTGGCATAAGGAGGAGTCAGACATAAATCAAAACTCTAGGAAGAAAAATCACCAGCAGAAAAGACCTGTAGAGATTTCATGTTTCATCCATTCATTCAAAAATATTTATTGAAACCCTAGTATTTGCATATTGTGCTGCCAGACACAGAGGGATTTGCTAAAGAAATATTAAAGACCTTCTCCCTTCCTTTGAGGGACTTAGGGCTTGCCTGGGGAGGACTGACATAGACATATAAAACAGTTAAGCTATAATTCTAGGCAGCATGTGATTAAATACCAAAATCTGTGGTTCCGACAAGAAATGCCACAGGAGTTCAGAAAGGGAGTGATAACTCAGTGCACTACTGCTTGCTGCCTACAAATTGGCGAATTGCAGCACTATTTGTATGAAATATTTTACACTTGCTTTTTTGGCAGCCTTAGGCTTTGACTCCCAGGCAGCATTAAGAGCCTACAAAAATATTTGTATTCCAGTCTTGGTAGAACTGGGTTATTTTTTTCTTATAGGCAGAAGAAGTGCCTTCTTCCACAAACCAGAGAGGCAGGGAGTTTTTGACAGTCACGATCTATTTCAGATACATAATAAAAAACTGGCTTGGTCATCCTCTGCTTCTCAGGCCAGTGGTGCTTGTCCCTCCGTTGCAAACTCTCCCTGACATTGAGAGGCATCTTAATTTGAACTTAATGTCCGTGACGGACGAGCTGGCCGTCAAGGGTCAGATAAATTTATGGCTTTGGAGAGTTGCTGATGAAAATCCCCATGGTTATAATGCGGAGAGGGAACTGGCACCACTGTGGGGGGAGGCGAGACACAGATGTGCCCACAGGAGCTGGGTCCAGATGTCAGAAGACGGCGCACGCGCCAGTCTTGTGCTGGGGATGACGCTGAGTGAAACTCACTAACTTCCTGTTCTGTTTTTGCAATATTCAAATTAACAAAGACAGAGCCATGAGCCTCAATTCTGAAGAAGTGAGAGAGAGAGTGAGAGAAGTAAAACCTCTATGGAGCCAGATACATTATTTGGTCCAATCCAGACTTGTCCATGGGATCCCCCGGGGTCTCCCCACAGCTGAATGTGGTCACCCCTGGGTTGTTTGTCAATCTTATGATTCCTGTGTTTTCACTTTCTTTTAAACATCACTATCACTGGCTCCCTGCTCTTTCATTTTAACCTTTAGCCTTGAGGGGGACAGATGCCAAGGACATGTTGCCTTTCCTTTATCCATTCCATGGAATATCTATGGAAGTCACCACCATGTGAAGATCACATGGCACTTGGTGTTTGCTCTTCTTGAGGGGTTGGTGGGAGGCAAGGGTTCCCAAGTTTGTGTGACCTACCAAGACTGACATGTCAAGCGAACCAGTGATGTTACTTACCACTCAGCTTCTGAGCATCTGTTCATCAGGGTAGTTGGTTCTGGACATAGCTTGAACTCCTTCAGGGCGTCCTCTGAGCTAGCTGACTTGGGAAGGTGACCTTGGAAAATGTTTCGCCTTTATCTTTTGGTGTCATTGGGTGTCTGTCTAAATAAATGTTATATAGCAGATTGTGATGGAAAATCTTATCACATTTCTAGGCAGACTTTGTCCTTGAAATATTTTTATTTAATTATGCTGCAAAGCAAAAGTAGTAGCTTTTAAACAAAAGACAAGTTACACAGTGAGTTGATACTCTGAAAATGAATTGCACACTTAAAACTTATATACTATGTAAATGCCTTCCTGGGCTGTTCTTTGCCCCACGTGTCTAAGGGGGGCTCTTCATCTTAGAATCCATGCACAGATGTGCCTGGGATGTGTTTGGCAGTGTCCTCTTGCAGGATTGCTCCAGAGTCAGAGTCCAACATGTTGCTATGTTTGTTCCTTGCCCCTTGACACGATGGGAAACTGCACTGCTGTCTCTTTGCTGCTTTTCATGGTTCTAGCATCATGTTCCTATTCCCGCTCCAAATCCATTCCCACTCTCCAAAGCCTGCATTCGGTATGAATGCCAAGGGGATAGAGTCTTAACTAACGCATGTGTGGGGTTGCTGTTCTGTTGCGTTGTTTTCTAGGTGCACTTTTCAAGGAGATTGTGTACAGTTAGAGAACATAGAAAACTGGCTCGATATTTCATCTGGAGTGAAAAAGTGCCCTCAAATTCAGATCATTCGAAGCAGCAGAGACAAGGTAAGAGGAAAGACTTTAATTGTCTTCATTTTGGTGTCTCGTTTTGCACAACTGATGCTCGCATCCTTCTGGGTGTAAAGTGTCTGTTGGTGATCAAGCTAGCTCGGCTATGGCAGTCTACTTTTTTAGTAAATGCCTGTTGAGCACTGGCCAGTTGTCACCACTCCACATGGCCCTGGGGCTCCAGCAGCAGCCAGGTCACCTTGTGGGCCTGCTCTCATGGAGTTTGTCATGGAAAGCCAAAGATGACTCTCAATAGCTGAATTTGAAAAAAAGTTGGACTTTCATGTTGTAGAAATAAATACAGTTTTTAAAATAGAGGGGAAAAGGTCAGGGTCATGGTTAACAGGACTTGTAAGTATGGTTTCATTTAGGATTTTGTGTTGATTTTGTGATCCCTTAATGGATCAGGCTACCCCTAGTAGCTGTCCTGTGAACGTGGTTTCCAACAACGTTGGTAGAAGTGGGCAGTGAATATTGCACACTGGGTTCCTTGGAAGGCCAGTGGCTTTTGCTGTGACAGAAGCACATCAGCCCTGAAGGGATGACAGAGAGGAGCAAGGGGCATGTTCCCACATCTTCGTGTCTCATGCCAGACCCTTTCTGAGGGGAGATGGAACCCCTGACTCACCATCTCTGTGGTGCTGAGGGAGACATTTTCTTCCTAATTGTGGCTCTTGTGTTTGAATAATGGTGCAGTGTCCTCTGCAGCAGACAGTTGACCTGTGCTGCACTCGCTGTGTTGTCTTGGAATGCCACATTAGCAGGGAGATGGGCCACTTTCTCCTTACCTTACACTTTGCCATTTCAAATGAATAGCAAGAGCTGTACCACTTAGGATGATTTAACATTTAATAAAGGAGAGCCCGGGTATTTAGTGAGCTGTAAATTATGGAAGAAGTGAGCTTTCAAATCACAACCCATCACTATTTGGCTGTTGTCACTGTCTGTTGTCTTCCTGGGGACAAAAAACTTCCCAAACCTTCGTACAAACTCCTGCCAGCCCTGAGTCAGACTGAGAGCCGGGGGCGGGATGCTTACACATCCAAACACAGAGAGGATCAAGTTTTTACTTCTCTTATTAGTCTGAAAAATAGCCAATTTCAGCGCTAATAGAGGATGGTAGAAATTACCACGATCCAGGCCTGATGTGGCGCACGCCTATAGTCCTAGCACTTTGGGAGGCTGATGATCACTTGATCCCAGGAGTTGAAGACCAGCCTAGGCAACATAGTAAGATATCATCTCTGCAAAAAATTAGCTGGATGTGGTGGTGCACGCCTATAGTCCCAGCTAACTGGGAGGCTGAGGTGGGAGGATCACCTGAGCCCAGAAGGTCAAGGTTACAGTGAGCTATGATTGTGCCACTGCACACCAGACTGGGCATCAGGGTGAGACCCCATCTTGAATATAGCTAGGATTCTGATAGTTAAGATTATGGAAGATTCTTTTATTTGTCATTTGAAAAAATTAAGGCGAATACTTCAGTTAAATGTAGTGGAGAAAGTAGCTTGTTCATGAAATAAAAAGTGCTGCTTATTCAATTTTCATACCTATATGGGTTTACTATTACATATTAATCACCATTTGTATCTAATCTGGAGCATTTCAAAAAGTGCTTACCGCCCAAACAACCACTAGTGCTGTGTTCTCCGCCCCGAGCCTCTGTGGTTGACCCTAACCAACCAGAGACTTCCCACAGGACCATGACCTCACTCTGTAGTCTGCCATGACTCTCAAGTAAAGGAGATAAGAATTTAGTAATCTGATTAAAGCTATTTTTTGAAACTAACTTTCCACTGGTTGTTTTACTAGTGTTGATAAGATATCTGACTCTATTTCTTGATTATATTATTTCAAAATACTTCCCACCCTTGTGGCCACCTATGACTTACCTGAAAATCTCAGTCTTCCTTTGTTTATATAATACCTGACTTTGACCTATGTGGGTGGCCGTTTCATCTGTTATCTCCATTCACAGAGGATTTGCCCATTGTCCATCATATGCCTAGTAACATTTTGTAACTCTGGAGGTAGAGAAAACTCCTGATTGCTACAGAAGCTTGTTCTTGTTCACAAGAAGCTTTGTTTCTCTATACAAAACAATTAGAAAACAGCACATCCTCATACTCACTATGGGATCGGCATTAAAAAGAAATAATTAGAGCAATTCTGGTTATCCTGGAGGGATTTCTGTGAAGTTTTGTTGAATAAAACAGCAAGACACAAGGAAGTATGCATAACACGATCTTGCACTGATTGGAGAGTGTGTGTTTATGTATATACAGAGGGTGCCAAAAAATGTACACTCATTTTAAGAAAGGAACAACTATATTAGAATTGTCATATTCCATCTGTACCAATAGCAAAAGTTTAGCACAAGTCACATTGGTTACCATCATCAGTTACTTCTGATTACGGGAACTAAAACTAATACATAGAAAATACCGCTTAAAATGAGTATACATTTTTTTTTTTTAGCACTCCCCAGTATGTCTCTACATGATTATTTAAGCATGGAGAATAGGATTGACAAAGTCATATGAGGATGTAGACATGCACTTCCCTGGTGGCATGACTGATGTGGTACAGAAGGCAGAGACACAGAAAAGATAACAGAGGAGAGACTCGCGTGCACAAACGAAAGAGGATAAAGACACAAACCCAGTTTTGCATTATGTAAAATTGTATGTTTGTATGCCTATAAAGAGATTTCAGCATTCTGTAAAAATGGCTTAGACAAATAAAAACAGAAAAACATAGGAATAAAATTTTTTCTTACCCACAATATGGTTCCTCAAGGAGAAATGCTAGGAACCCTCTTTTCAAACCAGCACTGAGTTAAGGAACTCCATCATAACTGACAGTGTCCACGTGGTTCTTAAAGTTCTATCCAGGGCAGTAATACAAGAAACAAGTAACAAGAATAATTATTGGGGTGAAATCTACAAAAATTCCATCATTTGCTAACGTTAAGTGGTTGCATATCTGTAAGATCTAAATATATTAGCTTTAAAATTATTCAAATGAGTAAAAGTTAAATAAAGTGCTGGACATTCGACAAATAGTCAAATATCAATAACTTACTATATGTCAGGTAAAACAGACTTTTAACTTCAATTTAAAAATGGTGCTATTCATAAAAACAACAGAAATACTCAGACATAATCTTAAAAAGCAAAGTATATAGCCTATATTTTAAAAGCATTTTTATTAGGAGATACGTGTTGGAGACAGCTACCAAAAAATGTGATTTTTGACTTTGAACATCTTAGCTTAAGCTGTTCTTTCTAATAGTAATTAGATAACAGACCAGTGGTGTATTAAAGCTATTTATAATCCATCATAGTGAAAACTTATCAATTAAAAACATAAGCATAAATAAAAGTAAAAACAAAAAACATACAAGGTATTTTCTTAGAAGCTTTGGAAAACATTTTGAATATATTCAGGAACAAGCTGCCTTTCTTGGTGGGAAGAGATCGTACAAGCATCACTTCTTCCTCAGACTGTTTTTCTAGGTTTTGTGGTATTCCACTGAAGTTTGAATATGTATTTTCTCTTACATTAATATAAAATTCATCTGGGGTAGCATGAACTGATCAATAATAGTCAAAATATATTTTGAAAAAAAGTTTATTTTAGGCAAGACCACTCCATGAGATTGTAAACATAGATAGGTTATTAATAGGCAGATAATAATTAATAGATATATGATTAATCGATAGATATAGAGATATCAGCAATGATTCAATCCACGATTCTGGCTTAAAAATAGGAATACTGATCCATAGAATATGTTAAAAAGCTCAGAAATAGATGCAAACATTTTAAAGATCAGACATCATAATATAAGAGTAAGCAAAAGAATGATTTCATAAAAGTATTGAGATAACTGGCTTGTACTGTGGAAACATAACTTAATTCATATTTTACGTTAAATATAAAAATTTAGACTAAGAAATTTATATAAAAAGCGAACTTAAAGGAACTAACAGAAAATGGAATTGAACATATGATAATTTGAAAGTATGATTATTTTCCTACCTCTGAAGCAATATAGCATGTAATAATAAAAGGAAAATATTCATATACATTATTTCCTTTTCTAAAACACCTATACAACAAAAAATAAGAGATAATTGAAGCACACACTTCAGGAAAATATTTGCCACAAACGAAATATTAATTATAAGATAATAAAGCTAAGAAAAATTCAAAAGACACCAAAGAGTAAGTGGGCCAAAGAATACATTCCCACAAGAGGAGATTCAGAAAATAGATACAAATATGGAAATATGTTCAACCTCAGTAGTTTTCAAATAAATACAAATTAAAGTGATAATAAGCTATGCTAGCACCCAGTGTTGGTGATGCCAATTAGCACAACCTTTTTGGAAAGCAATTTGGCAGCGTGTTTCAAAAGTCATAAATATATTCATTCTGTTTGAAACACTAATTTCAGGCTTAGAATCCTGAGGAAGTAACTTGAAAGAAGAAAAACCCTAAGCATGAAGATGCTATTGCGGTAGCAGTTATAGAATTAGAAACCTGGAAGTCATCAGACTGTTCAGCATTAAGGAGAGTGGCTAAGTAAAATATGTTATGTTGGCCAGGCACAGTGGCTCTCACCTGTAATCTCAGCATTTGGAGGGGCCGAGGTGGGAGGATCGCTTGAGGCCAAGAGCTCAAGACCAGCCTGGGCAACATAGCAAGACCCTGTCTTTACAAAAACAAAAAAAGAGCCAGGCATGATAGCATCTATCGTCCCAGCTCTTGGGAGGCTGAGGTAGGATGATCACTTGAACCCAGGAGGCTGAGGCTGTAGTGAGCTATGACTGTACCACTGTACTTCAGCGTGGGTGACAGAGCCAGACCCTGTCTCTAAAAAAATAAATACAGTATGGTCTGCCGACCTGATGGAATGTCATGCAGCAAGGAGCTCTTTGGCCCCATGGCGATTGCTTGCTGATTGACCCTCAGTGCCTCTGCATCCCATGAGAACCTTTGTGTTTGCACTTCCTCTTAATCCAGTTCGATTCAAGAAAGAGCCATCAACCTGGCAAGGATTCCCACACAGGGTTTATTAAGCCAAAGCTTCAGCTTTTTAACGATGCTCACCTGGAGCCCAAAGTCACACGAAAGCACCTTCCACTCACAGGCTACTCGCGCCTCTGTTGCACCTGAGGCCACATGCTGGCTCCTTTTTTTTAGATCAACTTCAATCCGCTTCTGTCTCACTGTTTTCCAGAACCTGCCCTCACTATGACACTAGTGACTAGTGACCTCTGTGCAGTCATTTGGCAGACAGGATAAAGTGCTCATCTTACCTGGTGGCTGGTGGCATTCCTGACCCCTTCTGTTGCCAGCAATGACGCCCTCACCACTCCTTTCTGGCCACACCTCAGCCTTCCCTGCAGACTCCTGCTCTCCCTGACTCTAACTGTTGCAGTTGTTTGGGGCCTAGTTTGGGGTCCTTCTCTCTTCCCTGTACTTTGTCTGTAGACAACCTTTTCCACTTTTGTGGCTTTGTAAGTCATCCCCATGTCCATGTCTCCCTTCTCTCCAATCTAGATGGCTCCTCTGAGCTCCAGGCTCACATCCAAGTTGACATATCTGTCCTCTCAAGTATCACAGAAGTCTTGAACTAAATATGACCAGAAATGAAATCTTGACTCTTCCACCCAAAGTCCACCCCTCCTTCCATGTGTGCATCTCAGATGTGGTACCCATGGTACCTCCATCCACCCGTTTGCTCATCCTCCATCTCCACATCTGCCACTTCCAGTCCTGCCCATGCTACCTCTAAGGGCACATTGACTCTGTTCGAGTCTCCATTTCCACTGGACTGTCTGGCTCAGCCTTCAGTCACCTCTTGATGATCTCTTGATGCTGTGTGGCCCTCCTCCAATTTACTGTAGTAGGATGTTCTGTACTTCTACGAGTCTGTAAGCTCTTGGAGGCAGGGACCAGGTTTGGTTCACTGGTGTATTCAGTACGTTGTGTTGCACTCAGCATATGTCAGGAACTTGATAAATATTATGGAATAAACAAATGGAATGATTACAGTTATGTAAAAACAATGTAGGTAAGAACTAGAAGGAAATGTGGAACATTTTGAAGAATTGATGAAGATGAAATTTTTTAAAACTTTCTGATACTTTCATTTAATCTTTGAGCAATGAATTTCATGTAAGCCACATTTGAATACAAGATAATGCATGGCCATGTGCTGAGGTGTGGAGCAGGTATGAAACCGGGTTGGAGACGTGGAAGCCAGTTGTTGGGGACCAGCTGAGGGGGATGGTCTGGGGTTCATGCCTATGCTCAGGTCCCCTAGAGATGGTTGGACTTTACTCCAGATGAAGTGGACTGAAAGAACTTGCTTCTTTCAGGCAGCATGCACCTGTGACTCAGAAACAGAATTTCTTGACAATGGGAAGAGGGAGTGACCCCCCAGGACTAGCACAGACTTAGCAGGGCAGCAGGAAACCACAGAGGCTCAGGCAGCAGTACAGAAGGTCTGGTGGAAGGTTGGAGTGTAGTCGAGGACAGACACCTGCCAGGGTGTCTCGACTGTGGCTCCTTGGAGGGGGTGTCATTCAAGGCCCCTGCCTTGCCTTCCCACCAGAGCTCCTCTTGAAGCTGATGCCAGAGGAGCCCACCGTGGGCACATTCATTCCTTTAATTTTCCTCCTGAACAGGAAACCCGGTTGTCTGTTCCTTTGGATAAATTTTTTTAGGAAGAAGTCACTTTGGGGAAATTTCAAGATTTTCTTTTTGTGTTCCTAGTGTACACACACATGCATGCATGTGTACACGCACACGTATCCTGTACACAAACACACACACACACACAATAGTCCCTCCTCCCAAAGCTGAGTATATGTTTGACCACAAACAAAACCGTGGCTAGTTTTTAAAGTAGGCCACCTCCTCTAACTATTGTCTAAAGTGTCCTTAGTGATAAGGAATAGTTGACAAAGGTATCTTAAACCTGGGAGACCAAGGCACACCCTCCCAAGGAAACTCTGGATCAAAGAAAAACAAATGAAAAAGAGTCATGTATTTGAATGGGAACACTTAGTATCATAGGGATATCAATTTTTCTGACATTAAGGCATGTATTTAATACAATTTCAGTGAGACTCACAGTCCCCTCAGGCCCTTTGGATACAATGACCTTAAAGTTCATGTGGCTGAATAATGTCTAGGAAATGCTAAGAAAATTATGAACATAAAGATAAATAAGGAGAGATTCGCTTTATCAGATGCTAAATATGTTTAAAATTACAGTAGTAAAAAGTCGGTGACATTGCACTAGAAGGAGATCAATAGATTACTGGAACAAAGCAGAATTCAGAAATAGATTCCAGATATATGGTAATTTAATATAGGACAAAATGGCATTTCAGTTCAGTGAGGAAAGATTTGTTTTTTGTTTAATAAATGGTTGTGACATAACTGATTAACCATCTGGATAAAAATAAAGTTAGACCTTTATCTCACATTATATATAAAAATAAATTCTGGATGTATTACAGATATACATTTTAAAATAAAACAATAAAGACGTTGGAACAATTTAGTGTTAGACTATAAGCTAGAGTTTGGGACCCACATTATAGCCAAGACAAGAAACTCTGTATTTGATGACATAAAAACACATTGTGCAAGGCTAAAAGATGCCACAAACAGAAGTTACAAGGCAAACAGTAGATTAGGAGGAAATATGTGTCAGAGGATGGCAGATAAGGATTAATATCCACACTATGCAGAGAGCTCTTAACAAGCCGATAAGAAGAACACGCACAAAGCAGAAAAGTGGTCAAAGAATGGGAATATGCAGTTTACCAAAGAGCAAAGCAAACAGTCAGTGCACATCTGTGTCTATGTCAGCTCTTCTGGGAATTCCTCCCTCCCTGGTGGTTGGGAGGGTGAGCTCACGTGGGGCCCCAAGATGGTCTGGTGGGGCAGGCCATACAGAAACCCCCATTTCCTACCTGTGTCTCCTCCCCTGTGCAGACTACAGTGACCCTGTGGGGAGGCGTCCCTCCGAGATACTCACAGTGCACAGTGAGGAACGTGGACACCCACAGGGACCTCTGCCGGGGTCGGAGTCCTCCGAACCAGACCTGCGCCTGTAATATCCCGACCAGAGCAAGCCACAGAGGTATGTGAGCTCCTCTGGTCTCTTGGCATAAAGTCAGCTAAGCAAGAGAAACTTTGGGTTCACGTGACCCGAGGAAGCACGCTGGAGAACAGGGATTCTGTCTGGCTCCCCAGGATAGATAGACAGGGATTCTGTCTGGCTCCTGCTTGTCCCTTTGGACCTGCTCACCTCTGCTCTACCTCATTCCTTGACCCCAGGACCCCACTAGTAGAGGTGACTGGACAGTGACAGAGGAGTAAGTTGGGTAGGAGGGTGACACTAGACATCAGACTGACTACCCACGGGCCTCAGTCATGCAGAGATTGGAAGCGTAGGGTGTGACCAAGGGTGAGAAGCTGCCCAGCCAGTGTTCTCACAGCTGGAGCTCATTGCATTCGTTTGTCCACACCGGAGTGTTTGTGGAGCACCCCCCATGTAGGCACCAGGCCAGGTGCCAGGGATACAGGGGCCACCCATGGCAGCTATAGTGAGTGGAGTGGAGAGACGTGGGCAGCTCACTGTGCCAGCTGGACCCAGGGTGGGGAAGGAGTGCTTCCCAGAGGAAGTGACTCCTATACAAACCTGGAGTGGAGTTGAGCCAGCCAATGAGGAGGAGAAGAGCATTCCAGGTATGGACTGCTTGTGTGTGGTCCGGAGAGAAGAGGCATTGCTGGAAGGCCTGGAAGGGGTTTCAATGTCTGAGCAAATGGAGCAGGGGTGGAGAGAGGGAGAAAAAACCAGAGAAGGCAGCAGGAACCACAGAGGGCCTTGGGAGCCACGAACCCGGGGAGCTGTGACGAGCCCTGAAAGACTCCAGCCAGTGCCGGTGCGGGCAGAGGCCCGCAGTGCCTTGTCTGTCTCCGACTGTCATTCGGAGCCCAAGGGAGCTTGGACTCGCGACGACATAGTCACTGGGTGCTTAGGGTAGCACATTGTACCACGTAGCCATTCACAGTCATGAATCTCCAACTCAAAAAACATAAAAATTAGCTGACACATTGGTACCCACCTGTCGTCCCAGCTACTCAGGAGACTGAGGTGGGAGGATTGCTCGAGCCCAGGAGGTTGGGGCTGCAGTGAGCTATCATGGCACCCCTGCATTCCAGCCTGGGCAACAGAGTGAGAAACTGTCTCTAAAAACACACACATACACACACACATTTATACACATTTATATATGTGGAAAAAGATATTAATCTCGTCTTTTATTCTGGTCCTTGAACAGAATAGAACTTGGTAATTTTGCTCTGGGCTGTGGACCCCACAACACTGGCTCTGCATGACCATCCTGTTGGGAGCATTGCAATCTAGAGCTACACCCAAAGCCTGCTTAATCAGAGGTCTAAGCGCTGACCCTGGCATCTGTATTGCTATAAACTTCTCAAGTGATCCTGATAGACAGCTGGGCTTGGGACCATGCCGTGGGCAGAGTATACATGTTTAAGGAGATACAGGATGTTACATTTCTCAAGCGTTGGTTGAGCAGACTCTTGGATTCTTCTCATTTCTTCTGTTGGGGTTTTCCAGCCAATGGGGAGGCCTTCAACAGTAAGTAAGGAAGCCTTCATCATAGCTTTGGCAACAGTGGACTCCAGGAAGACTGTGGCTCCCTGCCCATGGGAGCCACACTCTGGGGTTTGTGAGGCAAGCGTCTAGTGTGGCTTTTTCTTGCAAGTATGCACACATTCGTGTTCTAGGCTCTTCTTGCTCAGTGACTTGTTTTATTCTTACGCCTTGGCCAATTACAAGCTGAGATAGTGATCCCAGGGAGAGTATGAGATGTAAATGAGCTGTAAAATGGCTTTTTCCTAGTGATTATCCACGGGAAGCTTGGAATGTGAGGTGGCTTAGGCTGTTTGGAGGCTTGTGCCTGCACCCTGACTGCCTGGCCGCAGGGTCCATAGGGAAGGCACCACATACCGATGGAAATGTTAGAAACAGCTGGCATGCCTGCCCGCTCTGCAGAGGAGACAGAAATATTTATTTTTTGCATTTCCAGCTATGCTTGATGGTAGCAGGAATTGCTGTAAATGACTTTTCTCCCCTTCCTCCAGATGCCTTAGTTGTCAATGTGACGTTCTCCTTCGGTTCCTGGAATTTTTCAGACAGACTCAACTTTACCGACTGCTCATCATTAAGAGAGTAAGATTTTATTTGAAATTTGCATATTCTCTTGTTGATCTCAATTTATTTATTTGTTGGGCTCCTCAATTTCCTAAAGAACTCTTTTGGGGCATCGAACTTTCCAGAGTGCCTTTTGGGGCATAGCCTAGTGGGAGGCAGGAAGGCCACTGTGCTGGCTGTGTTTTTCCAAGACCCAGAGGCAGCCTTGAAGTAAGAAGAAAGGGCCCTGCTGGATGCTCCCCTGAGCAGAGTGGCTTTGGGAGCCTGGACAGGAGGCGGGCTGAGTTGGGGGAAGGAGGAGTCGTACTTAAGAGGGACAGAGGGCATCTCTCACTGAAATCACACCTCCTGCGGCCACTCTTCACCCCTGGGGCCCCTTTGAGCTGAACGAGGGCCATGCCGCACTCCTTGCTTCCAAAGCAGGGAAGACAGAGTCCATGTGCTTCTCCGAGGTCTGACTTTCCAGATGGAAGTTGGAGTGAGGCCCCTGGAGACCACTGAGAAGCTGTGTGGGGAACAATTCTGTAGGTCACGCCAGGGCTGATTGACTGGAGTGTTTCTTGTAGCTTGGCCTGGAAACCAGCATTTCAATGGGGAGGTGGGGAGATGAGCTTGAACTTCAAGCCGGGCAGGAAGCTTCTCCACAGTGATTACAGCGGGAGGCCCCGGGACTCCCCTGCCGAGACACTTTGAAAAGGATCACAAGGTCTGGCTCAATTATTTCTAAGAAGCAGAATGAATTTAGAGAGGAAAAAAATACAAAACTTGATAGAGAAAGTCTCAGAAGTCCATGAAAATAGGAAAAAAGGGGAGAATTAAATAGAGTTTTATTGCTCAAAAAGAGTTAAAAAGATAATGCACTTCCCCCAGTTTTTGAGGCCAGACAAAGGGAAGGAATGTGCCTCAGGTCCCTACAGCTTGGCAGTTAAGAGCCAGACTTGAGAGCCAGCTCTCCTGGGAGGGGAGCACCCTCTCAGGAGGTAATGGTTCCTGCTGGGAAAGCGCATGGTGCAGTTGTCACACTTGAGCGCAGGACCAGCATCATCCAGACTTGCTTCAAGCCCACTTGGGGGCCTGAACAAACACAAAAGCAACTGTTTTCTCCTCTCATGGAAACCGCAGCTTCATAGGTCAGCCCCTCAGAACACTCCAGAATGCCTTGGGTCATGTGTGAAATACGACTGGGTCCCCTCGCCCTGCACTAGATCTGGCCCCTGTCCCCAGAGGAAGCCTCCTCTAGCCTCCCATAACTGTGTTTCCAGGCTTGCCCTGATCTCCGCTTTTTTACTTTCCCTCTGTAAGTGCTTTTCAAGTCCGCCACAGTTACCCATGCATGATGGAGTATTTGATTAGTGGACACAGTTCTTGCTTGATTTTACTGTAAAGCAAACCCTGGCACCCTGACTTCTCTGCTGGCCAGATAACACCTTTTGTCTACCATCTTCTGGGTAGCTGGCAGTGAGACTGCTGGAGTGAGTGAGGGCTTGTTGTTCTGGGGGGTGGAGGCAGAGAGACCGAGCTCACCCTCTGGGGGGACTCACCTGAGGGTAGACAAATAGCAGAACAGGATTCAGAAGCAGATTCACTGTGTTCCTGCTGTCTGCAGACCAGCAGGTGACCCCAGCTTCTGGTTGCCATGGCAACACTCCTGCAGGTGCGATTTCAGTCCAGCAACCAGAGGGCTTCCCAGAGCAGGGAACAGAGTAGTACTCTACCCAGTCTCAAGAACTGTACCCTCTCCCCCAGTTCTTCTCAGTCTGTCCAGAGATTTTTTTTCTCTTCTTTTAAACGCTTGTATCCCGAGCCACAGAGGGAAATTCTCAGCTCTAAATATTTTCCTAAAAATGTAGGAATTGAGTTGGTTTCTCGTGTTGCCAGATGCCCAGTGTGTGTTGGAACTGGCTGTGCCTGGTGCAGACGTGAGCAGAAGTGCATCCACCCCTTCACAGCCTGTGATCCTGCTGACTATCAGAGAAACCAGGTAAAGTGATGCTTTTGGTATTAACAAGGTTTTCAAAAATAAACGTTTGTGATCACCCAGCCCCACCCTGACTTTCATGTTTGTGTCACCATTTGAACGTCCCACCCATTTTGGTGTTGAAGCCATGTTTTCCCTTCCAGGAACAATGTCCGGTGGCTGCTGAGAAGTCACCCAAGACGCCTGGAGGGGGACGATCCCAGGAGAACAAGGGTAACAGGACCAGCCAGGGTGCACAGGTCAGACCCCACTTTTGTGTGTATAATGAAAATGCCCAACTTTTGATGACAGTGTCAACTTCTATTGTTTGGGTTCCTTAAAAATTTTCCCCATTTTTACTTTCTACCAAAATTCCCTTTTTTTACCTTTGGTTTTTAACCAAGTTTCACTTAATTGGCTCAATACATAAAAGGCTGCACACTCATAAGAGAAATTAAAACTCTGTAATTATGAAAAATGGTGTTCTAAAATGTGAAAGGTGACTTTGTAGCTCGCTGGGGAGAGCTGGCAGGGTATGTGGCCTGCCACTTGTGGGGAGTCAGCCTGGAGCGCACATGGTGGGCGCTGCTGGGGGATCTGTGTGTGGCTGGCGTCCGTGCCAAGGGTGCAGACTCATCTCAATTCGAATGGCTTTCTTTACTTGGTAGAGATGATCTAACCAGTAGTTAATGGTGCTAAAACAGAGTTGTCGTGGAACGTGTATTTCTCTCCCCTTCTCAAAAATGATTTCTTCTCCATGAGATTTCCGTGGAAACGCCTCTTACTTTCTTTTAGTAAATTACTAAGCTCTCACATTGGTCATGTTTGAAAAGCGGGAACATGACACCGTGAATACTTTTGGGCAGGACATGAGTGGCTGTGCTTAGAGCAGAGTTCATTGAGCAACTGTATGGGCTGAAAAATGAGAAGAGTTCAAGGCCTGCTCTCATTAACCTGGGGTCTAGTGGGAGAGGACGAGTTACAACAACACTGGAAAGAAAAAAGGCACAGTTTTCAATTCCATGACTAATCTGAGTCTCTGACTTCCTGTCTGCTGCTGTCTAAGGTCAAGTGCCAACATAAATAAGTAGCACATTCTTAATCACTACTGAAAAGTTGATCGTAACTTTAGGTGAATTAAGGAACTGGCAGAGGGAGTGAGAATCAAAGTGGATTATGAAGTCAATTAAAGGCATTAGGAAGTTCGGTGTGCTGATGTCTCCAGACTGGGAGAGTCTTGAGGTTTTATTAAGTGATGGCTACTTTCTCTCCTGGTGGTTTGTAAAACTAAGACATAGTGACAGGGACTTGTATCAGGGAGACAGTGACCTTTTCTTTTTAATTAAACTTGGTTGTTGTTTCACTTCTTTCACATTTTGGTAAGATACACATAACATATATAATTTCCCATTCTTACTATTCTTAGGTGTGTTTGTCAGTAGTGTTGAGTACATTCACACTGTTGTGCACCCATCTCCTGAAGGCTTTCATCTGCCAAAACTAAAGCTCTGCACTCATGGAGTGATAACTTCGCGTCTTTCCCCCTCTGCCCAGAGCCATTCTGTTCTCCATCTCTGTGAATGTGTCAGCTCCAGGTGCCTCAGAGAAGTGGAAGCATGCAGTGTTTGTCTGATTGTGACTGGCTTATTTCACTTAGCACAGTGTTTTCAAGACTCATGCATTTGGTAGCATGGGTCAGAATCCTCTTCCTTTTTAAGGTTGAATCCTATCTCATCATATGTCTGTACCACATTTTGTTTATCCATTCATCTGCTGAGGGACACTTAGGTTTTTAGCTATTCCACATTTTAGTTATTGCAAGTAATGATGCTACTGACATGGATGTACAACTTTTTCTTCAAGATCCTGCTTTCAGTGCTTTGAGGTATCTGCCCAGAAGTGGGATTGCTGGATTATACGGTAGTTCTGTGTTTAATTGTTTGAGGACTCTCTATGCTGTTCTCCATCAAGGTATACCACTTTACATTCCCACCAACAGCATATAAGGACTTCAGTCTTTCCACGTCCTCACCAACACTTGGTATTTTCTGTTTAGTCTATTAGTTGCCATCTGAGTGGGGCGAGGTGGCATCTTACTGTGGTTTTGCATTGCATTTTCCTGATGATGAGTTATGTTGGCATCTTTTTATGTGCCTCCTGGCCATTTGGATGTTTTCTTTGGAGACATGTCTAATCAAGTCCTTGCCCATTGTAAATCAGGTTCTTTTTTGTTGTTGAGTTGTAGAAGTTTTATACATATATATATTCTGGAGATAAACCCTTTATCATTTGCAAATATTCCCCCCATTCCATAGGTTGCCTGTAGACTCTGTTGATTGTGTCCTATAGTACACAGATGTTCTCAGTTTTGATAAAGTCCAATTTGTCTATTTGTTTCTTTTATTGCCTGTGCTTTTGGTGTCAGATCCAAGAAATTATTACCAAATCCAATGTCATGAAGTGTTCCTCCTTTGCTTACTTCTAAAGGTTTTTACTGCTTATATTTTGGTCTTTGATCCATTTTGAATTAATGCATAAGGTAAAGGTCTAACTTCCTTCTTTTGTATGTGGAGATACAATTTTCCCATGTTGAAAATAATGTCCTTCCCCCATTGAATGGCCTTGGCACTCTTGTCAAAAATCACCTGACCATATGTGGGAGGATTTACTCTCAGTGCTCTTTCCTAGTCTGCTGGTCTGTATGTCTGTCCTTAGGCCAGTCCCACACTCTTTGATTACAGTCACCTTGTAGTAAATTTTGAAATCAGGCAGTATGAGTCCTTCAACTTTGTTTTTGTTTTTCAAGATTGTTTCGGAAAAATTAAATCTTTCATTTTGAGATCATTGTGGATTCACATGTTGTTGTAAAGAAGAAGACTTGTGTCTTTGACTCAGTTTCCTTCGGTAGTAATGTCTTGCAGAACTATGGCACAGCATCACAGCCAGGACACAAGCAGGGACCACAGTCAAGATATGGCACAGCTGTAGCATCAAGAATCTCTCAGATTGTCATTGTGGAGTCACACCTACTTCCCTTTCCCTCCTACGCCCCATCTCTGATGCCTGAAACCACTCATCTGGTCTCCATTTCTATAATTTTGACATTTCAAGAATTTCATATAAATGGAATAATCCACGTGTTCCCTTTGAAGGATTGCTCTTTTTTTTTTTTTTTTTTTGAGTCAGGGTGTCACTTTGTTGCCCAGGCTAGAATACAATGGCACAATCATGGCTCACCACAGCCTCGACTTCCTGGGCTCAAGTGATCCTCCCGACTTAGTCTCCTGAGTAGCTGGGATTATAGGCATGTGCCACCATACCAGCTAATTTTTTTTATTTTGTGTGGAGACAAGGTGTTGCCATGTTGCCCAGGCTGGTCTCGAACTCCTGGACTCAGGCAATTTGCCCACCTTGGCCCCCCAAAGTGCTGGGATTACAGGCATGAACCACTGTATCGGTCATGGCTTTTTAAACTCAACATAATTTTCTGGAAATTTATCCAAGTTCTTTTATGTATCATTAATTCATTCTTTTTTTATTACTGAATTGGAGTCCAAGCAGTAGCTTTTTAAACTTCTTTTAAAGAAAAAGATAATAAAGTCACTACACCCTCGCTTTCTGTATTGTGTCTTTCTGCATCTTCTGAACTGTGTGGTTAAAAGAACTTCTGGAAATTTATCCAAGTTCTTTTATGTATCATTAATTCATTCTTTTTTTTATTACTGAATTGGAGTCCAAGCAGTAGCTTTTTAAACTTCTTTTAAAGAAAAAGATAATAAAGTCACTACACCCTCGCTTTCTGTATTGTGTCTTTCTGCATCTTCTGAACTGTGTGGTTAAAAGAACTTCTGGAAATTTATCCAAGTTCTTTTATGTATCATTAATTCATTCTTTTTTTATTACTGAATTGGAGTCCAAGCAGTAGCTTTTTAAACTTCTTTTAAAGAAAAAGATAATAAAGTCACTATACCCTCGCTTTCTGTATTGTGTCTTTCTGCATCTTCTGAACTGTGTGGTTAAAAGAACTGCGACCACCAAAAAGAGAAGGAGGCTGAAATGAACAAAAACCCAGATCCTTCTCCACGATGCTCTGGGGATTGCCCTTCTGAGCATGGAGAAAGATATCTGTTGACAGAGAAACATCTTCCTTAAATATGTGACTCAGAGCGGAACATCTCTTTCCTGATAGGGTGGAGTGTTGCTCATGCTCAGAGAAGCACTGCTGTTTTTCTTTATCATGTGGAGTGGGTAACATGCTGGTTTCCCTTGGGGTCTTCATGTGGGCCTTGAACAAAGCACCCAACGTCCTTGCGACTTTCTCCCCCACCCAAGAAGACATTGCTTGCTTTTCTCTAATGCATCCCCTCATCATATAAATCCCAAGTGCTCCCTGTGTGTGAGGTGCTGGGGGTGGTGTGGGCCCAATCCCAGCTTCCAGGGTCCTGAACTTGGGCACCTCTTTGAGTCCTTCTCTAGCACCTCTTGGAGCTCCATGAGGAGGACGCAGATGAATGAGCCACATCTCTGGCCTTCAGCCTCAAGAATCTGATCCACGAACACATCAATAACAGCACAAAATTGTAAAGATGTTAACAGAGGGAAAGTACTAGGAAGTAACAAGCCCAGAGAGCCTCTCTGAGCCCCGGGCCTTGTCTTAGTTTTTCCTGGTTATTGCAGCCCAGTGTCTGGCGGGGGAAAAACACTTCATCAGTGTGGTTGGCTAGGTCTGTGATTGATGGGTGGGTTGATTGATAGAGATGGCATTTCAGCCCCTTTTGGAGGGAGGAGAAGCACCAGGCACGCGGATACAGGTATTCTAAGCAGAGGAACCAGCAAAAACAGAAGTAGGGACAGGGGGGACAGGAAAGTCCAGGACCCCATTACAGGGAACCCCAAGTAATCCAGACTTGAGCAGAGGAAGCAGGAATTATGGGACTCAAGGTTGAAGTGAAACTGCACAGATAGGGCTTTACTTACTAGCCCCAGGAGTTTGGGCTTTATTCTTCAGTGGCAATGGAGTGCTGTTCAAGACTTTTTCTTTTGGTCCAGGCATGGTGGTACAGGTCTATAATCCTGGTATTTTGGGAGGCCAAGGTGGGGGATCTCTTGAGGCCAGGAGTTTAAGACTAGCCTGGGCAACATAGTGAGACCTCATTTCTATGGAAAAATTTAAAAATTAGCCAGACACGATGGTGCACACCTATAGTCCCAGCTGATACTCAGGAGGCTGAGTTGGGAGGATTGCTTGAGGTCAAGGCTT